AGAATGGTGATATGTCAACCTTCTTTTAAAACATACAAAACACAGATCATGAAAACAAGGTAAACAAAGTCCAAGTCACAAAACCGGTCACAAATCCACGCTCTTTTACTAAATACCTACATATCTTGTTGGCATGTCTGTTAGATTCTGGTCAGCAGCATTTAAAATCATCGAGTCGCGAATTCAACATGGAGGTCTACTAATTGTTAATAACTACTTTGAGTAAATAATACAAATTTGCATAAAACAAAATGCAATATTATGTTAATAATGCGCGAATCAGTCAATGACTCTTTAGTGGTCCACGTTTTATAAGATCCATCAAGTTTCGTCTCGCGCATCGTAAATGTCGTGTGGTGCACTTAGCACAATTAGCTAACCATCTACTATCTTTATAAAAAGAACAGGGGTTTATTATAAATCTGTGCAGTGTAAATCTATAATAACGTGATACAAAATTATAGTACTCACGTTTTGTAGTAGCCTACTGTCCGATACTGAACGGAAATCGCTGTTGCTATGGTTACCATAGTTGCCAAGACCGCGTATTATACGCGACTTTTGGCTTCTTTTTTTGTAAAGTTGCGTGAAAAAATCCCGGGTTGCGGTTTTTTGGGTTTATTTAAAAAAAAATATGGTTGCAAATATGGGAAATCTGACAAGCAACTTCGTTTCTTTATTTATGTTCGCCGTATTCTCCAATGCATTGGTTGACACTCTGCTCACAGTTAATAGCCAACCAGTGCAATATTATAAACGCTGCAGCTTAATTTGCCAAATGTTCCGCCCCCTCCTCCCCCTCATTGGAGAAAATCACGTTAAAAAAGAAGGCGCGTGACGCTGTAATCCAAGCGATGATGAATATTTTTTTTTAAAAAAGGCAATTGCGAAGATAATTCTGAGTTTGTTTGTTTTTTCTCAGAATTGTGAGATATAATAGCAATTCTGAGAACATATCGGTCTTTTTCCGCCTCAGAACTGGACTTTATATCTAGGAATTCTGAGGGAAAAAGTCAGAATTGTGAGATGTAAACTGGCAATTGCGAGAAAAAAGTCAGAATTGTGAGAGAAAAGTCGCAATTACATTTTTTTATTTTGTATTCAGTGGCAGAAACGGGCATCCATACCTAAGTGAATGTCCAGGGGCGTAGTTTGCCAGGGGGGTGCTCATGTACAATAACCAAAAGTAGAAAGTACAACCACCCATCCCCCCATTACCATCTTTAAACTACTCATGACCACCTTTACCAGAAGAATTTATCACGTTTTATTGTAGGCTTATTTATTGTGGTACATTTTGTTGAACTTCTTGTAGAATTTATAATAGATAATCTGTTAAGGGAATAGATTTTCCCCTATAGATTTATATTACAACTGTGGCATGTTGTAGCTGTT